GTGGGGAACGAGTAAAATGGACTGGAAGGCGCTTCTGGGGGGTTCTCAGCCCATATGGGGTGGCTAACACGAGCTTGGAAATCAAAATTATTTTCTTCACGGAGCTGAAGTCTGCTTTCAAGAATATCAGTCTGACTTTAAAGTGCTTGCATCAACTTAAATTTCATCAAACATTTTATTTTCAAGCTACTAAGTAAAATGCTTTTTATTTTTCCTGGCAGGTTGCATCTTTTTTTCTCTTTGTTTGTTTTGTTAGCAATTGCTTTTGCTCTGTAGTGTTCCTGGGGCTGAATGTCCGCAGCGCTTATGCTGCATGAGGCTCTGCAGGTCTGCCCAATTATTTGCTGTGCAGCTAACACACCAGGTTTCAAAGTGTATCCTCACCTCTGGTTTCTTAAGACAAGCGTAAAAAAAATCTGTTCTACAGTATAGGAACTCCAGAATATTTTGCTCTTATTCAGTGGGCTCCTGATCTGATGGTCTCAGATGAAGAAATAAATTATCCAGTATTTTGGGAGAACAGTTTTACACAAAAGGTGCAGCAAGCCTCCCGCCAGCACTTTGGTGTCACTAGAGATGTGCCTCGAGTCCACAACATGCTCAATACGTACTGTTTTGTTCTGTGCTCCTTCCACTTCCTTAACAATCAATGAGAACCGAGGATGTTGAGGCTACCTATGGTGTGCAAAACTCTATTCCTTACTTATCTAAGTGTGCTGGAAAAAGCCTTCTTGGCTTGATTGTTGCCTATAACAACACCGCCAAAACACTAAAGACAAACAAGATTAGGAGACCATGCAGGTTTAAGTAAAAAAGAACACACTTTATTTATCTACAAGGCAGTACATTGTGGTATAAAAAAATTAAGTGCAGGTGAAGCTGCACCAAATGCTATTAAGGCAGCAAAGTCAGAGGCTGTTATAAAAAACCCAAACAATAAAAAAATAAAATAAAATCAGTGTTTTGCCATATCGATACAGATTTGGTATGGCAGTACAAAGAACCATGTATTTCTAAGAATCTGATTCAGTACACAAGACCCAAGTTAGGGAACAATTAGCTATACATGGAACAAAACAGACAACATGAACAAGACAGTGTTCTCCCAAACATATGAAGGTGCAATGCATGCTGTTACGAACCAATGAGAAACAAAACAATACATCCAGACAAAAAAAAAATCTCCCAAGAACAGTGTTCAAAAATATTGCTTATAAAAAAAAAGGGGAAAAATATAAATGATGTAAAAAAAAAATTCAAATAAAAAGGTCTGAAATGCTGGTGCATAGTCAATTAGCTAACATCAACATTTGTTTTCTTTCCATATAAAGCTCTACTGCTCCTCTTACACTAGCAGCATGTCTACACGCTAAGGTCTGTAGCAGCAAAACACAGTATTCATTTGGCATTTACAAAATTAAATTACTGAATAAAAATATAATTTTTCTCATAAATCTATTTCATACAGTAATATTTTTTTAAAGCAAGCTAATTACCCCCCCCAACAGAAACACACAATGTATAACGGTCTAGAACCATAACAGAATGAAAGAGTATTTCAAGAGGCATGGATGTTTGAGCATTCACAATCTTGATCAGTTTTCCCCCTTTGCACAGACTAACGTTTGTAGTAATGCTTTTCACTTCAGTATTTTACACCAATGCATTTTGTTCAGTGATTTAAAATATATCTGTTTGAGTACCTGCTCTTTTATTATTTAAAAAAAAAAAAAAAAGAAACAAACAAAACCCCACCCCTGGCTAGCACATCACTGAAATAACAATACTGGTGTATTAAGTCTGCTTGATCTCAATAAGTACAAAAAAAATTATCTTTATTATAAGTCTGCACTTAAGATCATTAATTACTGATTCAAACTCAATACCTAATAATTTAGGCAAGTATCATTTATTAAAAAAAAAAAAATCCTCTTAAGTTGGGTGAAATCCAACAAGAATATATATGCTGAGTGACTAAATGCACTTTGTGCTGCTCCCAACTGTTGTACCACAACAAAGATAGACTCTTCTCCCATTCATGAAAAGTCTTCATGCAGAGGAACAGGAATTTCCCAGTGGAGGTGAAGTGTTCTCAAAACCATAATGCTTCTCTGTCCGTCGACCCTTTCACATCACCAGAGTCCGGGTGGGGAAGGCGGCCATGTACTTGCGTGCCTGATCCGTCAGGGCCATCTGATCCTCGATCTTCCCGCAGGACGCTGACTCCCAGGCGTTGTTCAGATGCTAAATTAGAAGCAGGCAGAGAGATTTGGGGTGAACATCACGTGATTTATTTGCAGCCCCAGCCAAAGCCGGGCCCGCTTGTGATTAAGTGTTGCATGAACATGCAGTAGGATATTGTCTCATCTCCGGAGAAACCGAAATCTCAACACAACAGGGGAAAAAAAAAAAAATCACCCCCACTTTCAGTCGGTGGCCGGAGGGGTGGGCAGGCCAGATGACCTGCAGAGGGGCACGCAACAAGAGCCAGGATCCAAAACTCCCCACTTATCTCTCCAACAGCGTCTTCTCTATGAGGCCACATCTACAGCCTTGCCTTTAATCCTTCCTTTCCGCGCAAGGTCTAAAAAGGGAATTTACTTGCAGGTGGACTTTGCAGTCAACAGGGCACAGACAGGCTAAAGCTCATGGTTATAATGGTCAGCACTA